AATCAACAAAAAGCCTCTCGTTTGATATATATTAAATTGTTCATAGTTTTTTTTTTCTAGACAGATGAATTGGTTTGACATTCAATATTTCTTTTTCATCAATTCAGTATTTTTATTCAATATATGTGTAAATTTACAAAAATAAATTACAAGTGATAAGTAAATTTTTCGCATTTGTAACGATTAAAAATAATAAAATTTACCAAGTCTGTATGAATAAATGATATTTTGATCATTTAGCATCGAAACATCATTTCACATTCGTCCTAATACTGCAATGAAACCTCATAATCTTTTCGAGCTGAATTGAATTGAAATAAAATCACATAAATTGTCCTGTAACGAAATTTTCCATGAAAATTCATGCAGCTTCTGGCAAGATGACTGTCGTACATAATGCCAGAAAGGTCTACAAGACATTTTCTCTTCCTCTTGTAATCTTGGCACGCGTATTGTTGCTTGACTAGGACGCAGGTACTTATGCAATATGCAGTATGAAACGGTTGACGAAAAGCGATCTGATATTTAATAAAGGAAAAAAGAAAAGAAGGAATCATTATATTTTATTATGGGTTAATATAATTTTTGACTCTTTAAATTTATCATCATTTTGATTATGATCTCTTGAGTTTTAAACTCTCAATCTATTCTCTTAATTTTTTTTCATTTAAAATATTAGTCCCTTTAATACAAACCTGCATTATTTTGCCTCTAAAATTATCAAAATCTATCATTTAAAATTTAAGGAACTAAAATTAAAATAAAGACAAATTTAAAGAACTAAAAATTATATTAATTTTTTATTATTTATGGGTCAAAGTAATTAATAAAAGAACAAATTGGTACGTACGTCGGACGTACCGTAACTCAGGGTCTTGAACATTGGGGTCGGTCTTCAACCAGTTCCGTCGCATTCAACCTTCGCTAATGCAGAAAATTTACCAGCAGATGTCTCATTACTCGTTAGTCTCCGTTAGTTGTCTTTGGTTTGAGGAGAGGGTACGAGAGGAAAATTAGGAAAAATGACAGTGAGGTCTTCTTAAACGCAAAATATTATAAAAAAGTTTCAGAAATTTTGGTAATGAATCTGAAGCCTAAAAGAACTTGAGCAATTTAGTGAAGTGTGGAAAGATGTCTCTACCCCTAGTGAGATGCACCCAGAGTTATTAAAGTTGCCTTATTTTTAAATCTGAAAATTGACACTATACGCAGAAAGCAAGAGGAAAAAAGTACAAACTTCATTTTATTTCTTTTCCGTTCCTATCTAAAAATCTCATCCACTCCATTCACGTCAACTATTGGCAAAAATCGCTTGTATTTTTGTTTAGTGTGTATTTGGTCATTTAAGTTGGGATTTTATTATGGATAGGTAGTTAGGATGGTGATAGGTGTTTTGTTTTTGAGCATATTGTAGGTGGATTAAAGGTGGGTTTGCTCAATTTGAACATGGTTCAATGGGAATTGATGAGAAAGATTAAAGTTGGTGTGACTAGAAATCCTAGTGCAAAATAGAAAAATAAGTTGTCAATATGAGAGGTGATAATTATCAATATAACTCATTGACTTATATATTAATAATAAATGTGTTGTACAAATTTATATTAACTGGCTTTGTTAAATTTTTAACGCAAAGGTCATGACCTCTACGCCCTTCACTAATTGGTAAAGGTTACAAAAGGAGGAGGGAGAGGTAATGAAGAAAGGTGAGCAGCCACAAGAAGCAAAAGAAGGAAAATGACAAAAAGAAAAGCCACTCTAAAACTAGACATATGATGACAAAAGAATTTTTTGGTAAATAGAAGTGGCATGATTTTTTTGGTAAATGTCACAATACACACAAACAATTAGTTTGATATTAGATACATGCAATTGTATTTTTTTAGTAGGTTGTAAAATTAGTGTAATTATATGTGTATGAAGTTATAAATAAAAGCTGAGAATATATTATATTTTAATGCATAATCAGTTGTCATTATCTACATCCTTCATTATTAATACACCATTCATCACTCGTCACTTGTTGCACTATCAATTATCAATTTAGTGCTAATATAAATTTGAAAAAAAATGTGATTTCAAGTTATATAATATTGTACGACATCCTATAATATAGTCAATTCCTCTAAACTAATACACTTTGGTCATAATGTGATATAACATTGTTATTAAAAATCAATCATCACTTATATAAAATTATAAAATCACTTGTCATGAATAACACATTCATTTGGTAATGGTTTAATGTGACTTGTTAATGATTGCAATATCATTTCTTAATTTATCTACTGATACAATTTTTTTTTTTAAAAAATGATTTCAAGTTATATAATATCTATACTGATACATGAGTTTTTTTTTGTTGGTTTAAGTTACTTTGTTTGCTGTGGTTTATAATAAAGACAACTTGATCCTTACATATTGAATTTTTTTTATAATAATTTTCATGATGTCCATGTCCCCTTAAGGTTATTGTTTATTTTTTAAAAAAAACAAAAAGCAAACCAATTCTCAAAATCACATATATGAGTAGAAAAATTGCTAAGTTATAGTGTCACTGTCAACAAATCAAGATGCAGACATTAATAATTGATACATTAATAATTGATGCAAGGAATATTGATTCAAATTTGCAATTTTATTATATTTCACTTAAAATAGAATTATTATATCATTTTATATCACTTTATGATCAAAATGTATTACTAAAATTTATCTTAATTAAATGACTTTTTTTTCAAAATTTAAGCAGATTCACAATGATGTCTTTGATAAGTCATAATATCATCATTAACAAGTAAAGGTGTCATTAATGACAAGTAATTTCATAATTTAATATTAGTGATGATTCACTTTTAATAACGATTCTATATCATATTGTAAAAAATAAGGAATTAATTTTGAAGAATTGATGATATTATATGGCATTGTATGGCATTATGTAATGTAAAATCACATTTTTTTCAAGTTTATATCAACACATTAATTAACAACTAATAATGCATCGAATGACAAGTGACAAATAGTATATTGACAATGAAAGGTATGAATAATGACAATAGATTATATATCAGAATATAATATACAGTTAACTTTCATTTACAACTTTATATACATGTAATTATAATAATTTCATAACCTATTAAAAAAATATAATTGCATGTATCTAATATCAAACTAACTGTTTGTGTGTAATGTGACATTCATAAAAAAAATTATGTCACTTCTATTTACACAAAAAAAAAATTCTTTTGTAATCATTTTTGTAGGTTCAAAGTGGCCTTTTTTTTTGTCACTTTTCTTCTTTTGCTTCTTGTGGCTATTCACCCTTCTTGATCGCCTCTTTTTTCTCCTTTTATAAGCTCCACCAATGAGTCAAAGGCATAAAAGGTCATAGCCTTTGTGTCAAAAATTTAACAAAACTAGTTAATGTACACCTGCACAATACAGTAATCATTGATAACTCAAAGAGTTATATTGACAATTATCGCAACCCGTATTGACAATATATTTTCTTATTTTGTGGTAAAGGTTTCTGCAAGCCTACCTTCAAGCCACCCACAATATACCTAAAAACAGAATATCTATCATCAACCTACCTATCTATAATATAACCCCAACTTAAATGACCAAACATATATCAAATAAAAAACACAAGCGATTTTTGCCAATGATTGATATGAATAGAGTCGATGAGATTTTCAAATGGGAATAGAGAAGAAACATAATGAAATTTGGATTTTTTTTTTCCTTTTGCTTTCTGCGTATAGAGTGTAACACCCAACTTTTTTTATTCAAAAAAAGTAGAAAAAATTTATTTTGAGGAAAATTATGGAATATGAATTTTGAGGGCTTAAAAATTTTATGGAAAAGTATATTTTCTCAAAAATAGCTTAAATAATTTAAATAAATTTTCTTTCTACCTTTACTAAATCAGAAAATTCGATGTCTCACATAGAACATTGATTTTCAGATTAAAAAACAAGGCCACTTTTAGTAACTTTGGGTGCATCTCACTAGGGAAAGAAACAACTTTTCACAATTCATTAAATTGCACTTAAGCCTTTTTGGGACTTCAAATTCATTACCAAATTTTTTGGAACTTTTTTACAGTATTTTGTGTTCAATGGGATTTCAGTGTCATTTTTCTCAGGAAAGTATCTCCTCCCCTTGTTTGTTTAGAAACTTTGGAACGAATGGGAGCCAGGATTTCTCCTCTCCTCTGCTCCTCTCACCTTATTTTAGTTCCTATCAAATTGAGAGTTTTTAGAGAGAAGCCAAATGTATTGACTAATTTACTAAATGGACTTTATGATATTCTATAAATGTCATCGGAGAAAAAAATAAATAAATACTCAAATGCTTCACTTCATATGCTTTTATGGTAAAAAGTGTTAAAGATGATAAATTAGTTGATTTTTTAATTTGATTATTAACAAAGCACTTGGTAAAGATGAACGAAATTTGTTAATTTGACTTTTTTAAATATATTATTATATCAATTAGAGATTAAAAATTTTATTATACCAGTTTTTTATGCATATATTAACATGTTAAAATAAGAGTGAATTTTTAAAAATTACACACTTTGAATTAAGCGGTAGATTAATTTATATGGCATAGAAGTGTAAAATAAAATATTTAAGGGTTTGATGGTAAGTTCACCACCTCTAAGAAACGGAGAAACCAAACAAAGCATCGTTAAATATCTTTCTCCACCCCCTTCCACAATCCAAAAACAACCTTAATTTCATCCAGGAAAAAAAAAATTATTTTTGTTAAATAGCGTGTTGCAGTGTAAAGCTTGAGATGATTAGACGCGCACATGCCGCTTCTTGCTTGACTGGGACATTTTATGCAGTAAGACAGTCATAGAAAAGAAAACTGTGTTTTGCCATCAGAAAATGTCACACAGCGAAACGAGCTAACAAATCTCTGGAACAGAGCTGAAGAGTTTAAACTTTAAACCTTCCCAGAATGCTACAATACTCTGACAAATTTCAATGGTTAGAGCTTATTTAGCATTGCTTCAATTTCTCTGTGTTCTTATAACTCAATTACATGTAGCCACCAGCCAGCCAGAACTACAAAAATATTATTGCTACAACAGCAGCAGAACAGCAAATAGCACCTACCAGACCAACCGCAATACCCTTTTATCAAATCTCACTTCCAACAAACAAATAGATTATGGCTTTTACAATCTATCTTATGGTAATTACCCAAACACAGTCTATGCAGTTGGGTTATGCAGGGGAGATGTTATGCCAGACTTTTGCCGTAGCTGCCTCAAAATTTCATCATTCCTGCTGCCACAGCTTTGTCCAGATCAGAAGCAAGCTTTTGGGATGTACTGCTTTAAATTTCCAAGAAAGACTTGCAAAGAATTGGATAGTATTGTTGCTCGCTTTTCGTGGAATGGAGGGAAGGAAGGAAAGAAGATTCACTGGAAAAGCTGGGGCAGTTTAACAAAATCAAAGTCTGAAGGAGGGATGGGGTTTAGAGACTTTGAAATAATGAATGATGCTCTTCCAGCTAAGACTGCCTAGAGAATTATTAATAACCCAAATGATCTGTGGGTAAGAGTTTTGAAGGGGATTTATTTCCCTGATTCGAATTTTCTTGATGCAAAAAAGGGTGGAAAGGCTTCTTGGATCTGGTATAGTATTCTAATTGGAAGGGATATGTTGAAAAAGGAGGTGTTTTGGTGGGTGGGGAATGGAGAAGAAATTAATGTGTGGAATGATAATTGGATACCAGTTCTTAATGGTTGTCTTGCTGACTCTATGACAGTGCCTGATTACCGCAAAAATTGGAAGTAGCTAAGATGATTCAAAATGGTTGTTGGAACTTAGATGGAATGAGGGGTTTGGTGGCAGAGGAGGTCCTGGAGAAAATTGTGAAGGTGCCTCTAAATTACATCAGCAGAAGCGATGAACCAGTGTGGAAGGCAGCTAGAAATGGAAAATATGAAGTAAAAAGAGGGTATTATATGATAAAATGCAAGAGAGACGCCTCTCCGAATAGAGCAGGTGCTTCTACTGTCTTAACAGTAGAATTTTGGAAGAAGATCTAGAAAATTAAAGCCTTGCCAAAAATTGTTCATTTTGTGTGGAGATGTTTGGTAAGAGCAGTACCGGTTAAGGAAGAGCTTGTGAAGAGGAAGTGTGGTAGACCTGCAGTATGTCCTATTTGTGAGGAAGAGGTAGAATCAATAGAGCATGCTCTATTTACTTGTCCTTGGGCGAAAAGCGTTTGGTTTGGAAGTGAACTGTCCTTAAGATTTGAAGGAGACAAGATGAGAAGCTTTGGGGAATGGTGCTTGAAGGCTCTGGTAGAAGAGAAGTTTCTTGATGATTTCCAAATAGCCTATGTTGCTTGGTTAATGTGGCTGATCTGGAAGGAAAGAAATAAGGCAATTTTTGAAGCAAAGAAAGTCGAGCCTAGTAAAGTAATCCTTGAGGCTGGTAGAGCTGTGAGGGAACTGTGGGATGCTAAAGAGTGGAGCAAGAGAGTGGAGGTCCATGATGGGAAACAGATTGCTCAAGTTAAGTGGGAAGCACCTATGAACGGCTCTCTGAAGATCTGTAGGAATAATGAAGGAGAATTGCAATGGGGTTTTGCTGATAATATTAAGGCGAGTTCTGCCTTTGCTACTGAAGTGATGGCGTTACAAAGAGCTCTAGTGTGGTGTGTGAGTTTGATCTGTGCAATGTGGTTTTTGAGACAGATTGCTCAGAGTTGTATTGGTGCTGCAGGAAAAGACTATCAGATAATGCAGATTGGAGATCAAAATGGGAATTGCAGACTATTCTCGCTAGTTTGGAGGATCACAGGGACTTTGATATTGCTCTAGTGCCAAGGAAGAGCAATGAGGCAGCCAATTGGGTTGCTGTGAACTGTAGGAAGGGGGTGTGCCCTGTTGGGTGGATCTTTGATCCAACACCTTCTTTAAGGAAGATTTTGGATATGGATGCAGGCGTGAAAAGGAAGTCTGCAAGGCCTGTTTTTCCTTCAGCTGTCCAGAGGCCGCATAGATGTGGTGTTGGTTAGCTTTGTTGCTGGTTTTCGCTTTGCTGTTTTCTCTGTTGTTTTGTTTTTATTTGTTTCGTTTTTGTCTGTCTCCTTGGTGTTCTTTTTTGGGAAAATTACGTACAAGTCCCACAGAAGACAATTTATTCATCTAAAGTCCCACGAAATGTTAAAATCACTGACAGATCCATCCCAAGGGACCTCAAAGTAATATTTTTGATTTGTAAAATGACATTACTACCCCTCATATTCCAGATTCATATTTGCTCTGTCATTGCGATTTACAACCTCAGCAGCGACTATTAACAACTGAATGAGAGGGCATTAACAACCTAAGCAGTATCCGTTAACAACTTACTTTATAGAATCATATAACCTCTATATAAGTGTAAATTATAACCAAATAATATAATACAACAACTTTAACACTAAAATGGGAAGCTTTTTGATATCATTAAGAATTTTAACTAAACCCAATAGGATTATAGTAATATTTTAATGCGAAGATCCATTTACAACCTCAGCAGCGACTATTAACAACCGAATCAAAAGGCATTAACAATCTAAGCAGTATCCGTTAACAACTTACTTTATAGGATAATATAGGGATTGATAGGTCTTATTGAAACATAGATAATAGTCATGGTAATACCTAGTAAAACATTCTCATAGTATGGATATGAGAATTTTGATATCCTTGATTAACTTCTACTCCTTTAATCCTATTTATAGAGCAGGGAGAGAATATATTTTTTAATCTTATTTATAAGATACTAAGAAAATTTTTATATGGATATATAATTTTATTCTTCATTTATTATTGTGTTTATTTTGTTCAGATAACGTATAATACATATTAAATAAGTAAAACATTCTCATCGCATGAATGAGAATTTGGGCATCTTCGATTAACTTCTATCTGCTGGGAAGGAGGTGGTGGAATTTGATAAAGGTGGATAGACGTTGCTCCATGTGTTCCTTCGATTTGTAATGAATATTCCAACAACTTAATTGGCAGCCAATGCAAGTGGGGGCTACATTAGTGAAAAATATATGCATATTTTAATTTCAACAAATAAATGACAAGGATAAAGGATTCATTTCCTGTGTATTAATTAGCAACCTATAAAAGCAAGAGACGAGCTTTGTAAGAAAATCCTTAGCCTTTAATTTCACCAAATGAATTATCGAGATTCATCCTCTTTACCCCATAAATTCAAATTAATTCATCTACCACTTTCCATTTTTACATTAATGCACCATGTATCATATTTTTTTCCCCTTAAATCAACTTGAAGACTTCTAAAAATATACGATATTGTCTTTTAATTTTTTTCATTCATCTTTACCTTTATGAGTATTTGCTTTTGGCTCCATATATATATATATATATATATATATATATATCCATTTCAAAAGAAGACAAGCTATATGTAAGCCCCAGGCCATATATGCCCATTTACGTGATATGACATAACTATATGAAAAGAGTTTGTCTTAACTTACGTAAAACATTCTTATAAGTGATTTTAAATGGTATGCCACACAAGATCTCAATTGGTTGTGAAGGTATGTCAAAATCTTAGTGTGTGTGAGGCCTTTTGATAAAAATAAAAAAAAAACGAAGGCCTATTTATTTTCTTGTTTTGAAACCAACCTTTTGTTTTTAAAAACAAAAAATAAAAAATTGTTTAGTTATTAATTTTTAATTAAGTGTTTATAAAAGAAACTCAAAGCAATTTTTACATATTTTATTATTTTCTTTTTTTTGGTCTTTCTCTACTTTTCTTTTCCATTTGGAGTCTCATTTTTTTTTTATATTGTTTTTTAGTTATCCAACTCTCCATTCATCCATCATTATTATAGGATTCATTTAGAATAGCTTATAAATAGCTTTTTAATGATAATTTATAGAATATGAGGCAAATACGTGAGAAAAATTGTCTCAGTTCTTGTAAAACGTGCTTATGGGAAATTTTCACTGCTCTGCAAACGGGGCCATAGTCTTTATTTTGTCTCTTACCTTCTATCAGTTCTGCAAGTTGATTTTGAAACAATTATTCCAAACAAGTTTTTATTTGTTTAAATGTAAATATTTTAGAACAATTATTGAAACATATTCTTTTTCAAATGAATTTTAAAAAAATAATTTTATATATAAAACTATTTTAAAATTTGAAAAGAAAAAAAGAAAACAGAAACAAACAAGAATAAAGTGATTCAGGACCCATTCTCTTTGAAGATTCTCTCAGAGCTTTTTGCCATTTCCACGTCAAAACATTTTTCTCCTGAAATTCCAACGGCTTGTCAGAATAATTCATCTCTGTCTTTCTATTTTAACCTACTGGATGCTTCGCTTGACTCTATATATCCATATATTTTATGAGAAAATAAAATAATATATTTTTTATAATGATAGAAAATATTTTTCTCAGAGCTTTTTGCCATTTCCACGTCAAAACAGTTCTCTCCTGAAATTCCAACGGCTTGTCAGAATAATTCATCTCTGTCTTTCTATTTTAACCTACTGGATGCTTCGCTTGACTCTATATATCCATATATTTTATGAGAAAATAAAATAATATATTTTTTATAATGATAGAAAATATGATGATATTACCTCTAGTCTTTAATCTAAGAACTCATTTGACTTTTATTTAAATTTTAAATATAAGACCCAGTTCACTTTGTTTCTCATGTTTATTTATTTTTTTTAAAGACAGTTTTTGTAATAATGGTAGTTCTAGCCAATACCCTTGATTAACAAAGATATTTTAAGAAACATAATACTCCTCCGGTCCTTAATATAAGACCCATTTAACTAATTTGATTAGATTAAGGAAATTAGGTAAGTTAGTTAATTATAAAAAATGTGACACATTTTTCCTAAAACACCATAATCATCTTTTTTAATACCTCCTCTTCTTCTTTTACTTGATTATGGTTGAAGAAGTATCTATAGGGGTAATTTAGAGAAAATTGATAAATATGATAGATGGGTCTTATATTTAGGACCAAAACCAACTCAACAATTGGGTCCTATATTAAGGACCAGAGGAGTATCTATTTATTACAAATTACTAACTTAACTAGTTTCTTTAATTTATTCAAATTAGCCAATAAACTTTTATATTAACGACTAGAGGTAGTACATTAATTCAAAGTCTATCATGATATTTTATAATAAACTTCTCAATAAGCGTGACAAACCCAGGTTTCAAACTGACAAACATTTCGAAAAACTTAAAATAAAACCAGTAAACCACTTATACTTTCTTGGTTTTGATCAATATTGCTATTTCAGTTAAATTTTTCATCACTTGAATTGAATTGCACGAAAGGATTCTCCCTACAATAATATATTAAAAATTGGACCACATGTTTAAAACTTGCCCCGTCTTTAAAAATCACTCTGATCGATTTTCAACTCAACAGTCACTTCAAAGTGTCTCAACCTCATTAAACTCAAAACGATTGTTGGAATGGGCTACTTGTCTCTTCGGGTGATAGTTTAGCC